CCGATGCTGAGGTGGAGTACCATTGGGGAGAAGCCCACAAAGGTAGTGCCGCCCTGCTTGTCCTGCTTGCTCTTCCAGTGCTCCAGCGAAGTGGCCTGGATATGCGTGCGCGTGGCGACCATCTACCCAGCCGGCAGACCTTTGTGCGACTTGCCACTGGGCATTGCGGGGGTGATCGCTGCCTTCCAACCTTCCTTCTGCAAGAACGTCTTCATAGCGGGCACGTCCGCTGGCCCTTTGTGGGTCTCCACGAACGCGATGCAGTCGAGCTGCTTGCTGTTGGGGCCCTCGATGTAGTTCTGCATCTGAGGGCCCCGCTCCGTGATGTTTGTCGAAAAGAACCTGGAACTGGTCGCTCTGCTGGTCGGGCGTCGGCTCGCTAAACCTGCGACTGGCCAGCGCCATTAGCAGCATCAACACCTTTATCGTCCACTTCGCGAGCCTTGCGCCTCTCAGCGCGGTCCTGCTCAAAGGCCACTTGATTGGCTTCTCGGATCTTCTGCTTCTCCTCCTCGGGGTTGAGGGCGCTCGAGCCACTGCTGCAAGGTGCCGCCACTGCCGCCGAATCCGCCGCCGTCTCCGCCGAACGTGGCTCCTCGTCGACTGCCTCCGCTTTCGTGCCGTCTCCATCTGTTGCCAGTACCTTTCGTTTCTTCTTGGGGGCTGCCAGCGCCTTCTTCGTCTTCTCGTGAATCTATTCGATGTACTTGAACTTCGCCTGTAGCGTGCCGAGCTGCTCCTTTTGGAACTGCTCGAGCTCTCCTTTCCACTGTATGATGCGGTCCATCTCGTCCTTGGGGGTGTCGCACTCCTCGAGGCCTTCGAAGAGCTTGTCGTCGTACTCGAACTTGACCTTGAGGGTGCCGCCGCCGATCTTATCCTCTGGCTTGGCTACGAGGATGCCCGATTCATGATTAGCCTGTTGAAGGGCCAAGAGATGCCGTTGTTGGACCTCGACACGCTGCTGCGCCAACTTCTCCATGTAGTCGTTCTGGTCGTCCAGGTACAGCTGCGCGTCCGTGAGCTTCTTCTTTTGCTTCCCGATGCGATGATCGAGGTCCTTGAGCGCGCGGTTGGTCTCGCCCAGGAGCTGCGCACCCGTGCGCTGCTTGGGCGGTGCTGGGGCCGGCTTGGCGTACTCCTCCTCCTCCTGGGCCTTGCGACGCAGCGTGTCCAAGGCGGCCGTGATGGTGGGGTCAGACTGGTCGCCGACGCCCTGATATGCTGCCAAGCTCGCAATGAGGGAGACCGTGTTGAGCGGGTCGGGCTGTCCGACGTCGCCCGTCGGATCCTCCGCGTTGTCCCAGCCTGCCGCGTCGCCCTTGCGGGTGGAGGTGGAACGTCTCCACGGCGCCCACTTCTTCCATGGCCGTCCTGAGTTTGACCAGCCCGCTGAATGCTTGTCATTCTGTGCCCATACTCCTCACGGTGGTGGTGGGGCGCCGAAGGTGGGGAAGAGCTTTACCTTGCACTTGAAGCACTCGGTCTTACTGCTCCAGTTCCACTTATATCCACACGGTTTGCATCCAATATATCCCGCTGCACTCCCATTGCCATATCCCATGCCGCTGCGCACTGGGAAACAAGGGTGCAATCGCGCGGCGGCCGCGCGGACGTGCTCACCTGCGGGCAGCAGGTGGCACGCAGAGACCTGGGGCGGACCAGGCTCTGCAAAGCAAACGGGGTATGCCGCGGACTAGCGGTATCCAGTTCTGCCAATGCGGGCTCAGCCCGCTGGTCGATGGGGGTCTCGATCCCGAAAACATGGACTACTATTGTTTCGAGTTGCTCTACAGCGTTACTGATGATTGGGGTGGCATTATCGGGGGTGTGCTCGCCCCAGAAACTTGCAATTGTCCCTTTTCACCCCTCCTGCTCAGGTTGCCACCCCTCGTGCCTGCCGTTTGCCCCCCCCCCCCCCCCCCACTCCCTATTCTGATCCCGCGGGCATTTCGCAAGGTACCCCCACTTTCGAAACGCCATTCTTTCGAACCGCTCCCTGTGCGTCGACGCAGCCATGGGCGCGACCGCGCCATGCATTCCCTCATCAATGTACGCGCGGTAGTAGTGAGGTGAACCTTTTACCCGTCTCATTTCGGTGAGATGTCGAAATAAGTTGTGCGTCGGTAGGATTGGAGCGCCTCCGAGGCCCGCGAGGTTGCAATGCACTGCCGCAAACGCTTCCACGTCATCGCTCACATCGGCTGGCACTTGACGGGGCTGCTTCTCTAGCAAGTCACACCATTTCACCAGAGCAACGCCAGCCTGAAGCAATACGTTTGCTCTCTCCACGTCTGCTCATTTATTGCCAAACGCCTCCATCAACCAAACCGAAAAGAAGAAAGAAGAACAGCCATTTGGATTTTGCTGCCTTCGTGCTCATCGAGGGGCTGGCTTTCGAACCGATCATCCCTTTTGCGACGTTCCCCACCCTGGTAACCTGGGACTCTTGGGGCCCCCTTCGATCCCTCTTTTTGGGGTACCACTCTGCCAGGATAATCATAATGTTGTGTAGGCCAAACGACACAATATCGCCCTGAGTAGAAAGCTTAAGACCGAATATGCTCGCTAGCAAGAGCCTCCAGAAAACAGTGCCGATATGCACTTTCATGTTGCCTAAATGGACGCAGTGCATCTCATCGATGCTGAATGATGTAATGCCTATTCCCAGCGACGCGTCGAGCAATGGATTACGATGGTGCACCTTAGCATCCTGCGTTGGCCTCCAGAAACATATAAGAGCAGTGCACTCCTCTAAATTGCTAAGCTTATCAACGTCCATGGTGTCCAACATAGAAGGTATCGCCACGAGGCGATCGTTTTGTTTTAAGCCCACCTTTGGGATATCCTGTGATAGTGCCCTCCCCTTGTGCTTCTTCTTGACTACTAACCTCCACCTCACCTTCCGATGTAGCTCAGAAGAGTCTAAGATAACCCACTTCTCATGGCTCCTGCATTCGGTCTCGTAGCAATTCGGCCCGCGTGGCAGCAACGGGTTTCGAAGGTCGTGGCCCCTCAACTCGGATCGGGGGCAACAACAAAAAATGCACGGCGCAGCGTTGTGGGCGCAAGTCGGGAAACCCATGCTCGTGCTCATCTCGGGCCAATCGGCCTTGATATCGACGACCATTGCGGGAAATCCAAGTTCCTGCCCGAGTGATTGTTTGCATGATTTTGTTCCAGAAGATCGCAGTGCCCCCTCTTTCTCATTGTTTTCTTCCTCCTCCTCCTCCTCCGCCTCTGCCTCCTCCTCGCTATTCATGGTCGGCGTCGAATATCCTTCGCTCCCCAATCTCAGAATCTCACCATAAATCGCATCCACCGCGCTACAGTCCTCCCTTTCACTGATGGGGACTGGCGACGAGGAGGGGGGGGAGGCTGAAGCGGTGCTTCGCTCGCGCCCAGACTGCAGCCTATCACATCAACGGCAAACGCCCATCATTGGTCCACAGTCGCACTTGCTCGGAGGGAACACGCGAGAGGACAGAAGGCCCTTCTGAGGGCCACATTGCCGCGGGAATGTAGACGACATTGACCGCGAGACAGAGGATGCACGGGTGCCCTTGATTTGGCAGGGCCGACCTATTAATCAGGGCAGACTGTGCTTTCTTCTGCCCTCGACCACGGGCGTGCAGGGCACGTCGCAAGGCAGCGCCCCCTGACCCCAACGCTTTGGGGTGTCCCGGCGAGGCGCAACCAATCGGGCGAGGGCGGGGCGCCACGGGAAGAGAGCGAGGATGGCAGCGAGGGGGCAGGGCGCAGAAAGATGACCGATGGGGAGGGTAGGGAGACAGGGCGCCCCCCAAACCGGATGAGCGATGGAACGGGACACCGCGGCGATGGGGAGAATGGATGCATGGCCCCGCGAACACAAGGGCCCCCGCGCTCCCCACTCTCTTCGTGAGCCGTTCACCCCTGTTGCGATCAGCCCCCGCTCTCTTCGAGGGCAGTCCACTCTCTCTGCGCTCGAACCGAACGCCCCCCCCCCCGAGTCGTGATTTGTGATTAGTGGGTAGTGGGTTGTGAGTTTTGTTTAGTGAGCAGTGAGTATTGAGCAGTGGGTAGGGAGTAGTGAGTGTTTGTAGTGAGTAGGGAGTAGGGAGTACGGAGTAGTGAGTAGTGGGTAGTTGGCAGTGAGTCGTGGGTAGTGAGTGGTGAGTCGTGAGTAGTGAGTAGTGAGTAGTGAGTAGTGGGTAGCGAGTAGTGAATTGTGGGTAGTGAGTAGTGCGTAATGAGTAGTGAGTGCTGTTTGGGGCTAGGGTTTGGGTTTGGGTTTCGGGCTGGGGGTTACTGCAAGGGTGAGGATTCGTGTTAAGGGTGGTCGGGGTCGGGTTCTGGAGAACGGGGGCGCCGTGGCGAAAGGGGGGGGGGTCGAATTTGGCGGTCAAAGGGGGGAGGAGGGGGGGGGGTCGGAACCCCTCCCCCTCTTGAAAGGGCGGAGGGGGGGGGTCCCCGACGACGACTGGGAAGGGGGGGGAGGGGGGAGAGGGTCCCCGACGACGGATCGGGAAAGGGGGGGGGGGGGGGGGGGTCCCCGACGACGGATCGGGGGGGGGTCCCACCCCCCTCCCCCTTTGGGGTCATCCAGCGGCGCGCCCTCCCTGGTTTGCCCAGAGGCCCACGAAATAATGTTCTAGGAACCTTTTGTTTGTGGTCTGCACGAGATGTTCTCGGAACATTTGTGGCTGGGGCTGTCTTGTTTCAACACGTCGGGTTACGTTCAAGAGCGATGTTTTTTGTTATCGGAACAGTTTTGGGGTTCTAAGAACATGTCAGGATGGTCGGTCCCTGCTCCAGGGTGGGGCTGAGGACGGGCCCAGCTAGATGCTCCCGTTTATCGAAGGAGGCAAACGGCACAAACATAAATTTGTGGCGCTCCGCGCGCATTTCTTGGGTCCGCGCTGGGCGCCCCTTGGCGGCGCCTCCAGCGCCGCCTCTGGCGCGCTCCGCTCGCCAGGGAAGGGGGCTCAACGCAGATATAAGAAATCCGTGCGGAGCGCCAAAAGGTTCTGTCTACACCGTTTTGTGTCGTCTTCTGGCTATCCCAGGGTGGGGCCGGGGAGCGGGCCCAGCCAGATGCTTCAGTGGAGCGCGCTTCCTTTTTTCAGGGGCCGTCCGGAGCGAGTCTTCCTCCAGCCCCACCTGTGCCTCTACCCCAACTTCGTGCCCCTTCAGAGAGGCATAGAGCCGGAGCCGACGCCCACGTTCTGCGGCGCGGAGCTCCTCTACAGAACGGACGAGGATTGGACGCCCGAGTTTTCCGGGATACAGTCGATCCACCTAGTAAGGATTGGCAACCTTCCCAACGGTACCCTTGCATCCTTGCCTCCTCGGTCCATCCTCGGCCGCAAGGTGTCGACATGGCCTCCTCAGGCTCTTGCATCCTTATCGTGCGTCCTTATGATACGAATTAATTGACAACTCCGAGGCGGGAATTTATACATGACCACCGCCCGGAGGATCAATTCTCGGGGACCTCGGCAGGCGGTGGATATAGATATTGATATGGATATTGATGAGTATGGATAGGTATATACATGTATACATACATGTGTATATATACATGTGTGTATGTATATGTATTTATATATATATACACGACATAGGTTGCCTTGAATCGCAATCATCATCATCTCCTTCCTATTCATCTTTACAACGTTTATTTTTGTTACGTCTGCGCATCATCCTTCTCCTCATTCACCCTGTCGTGCGATTCCTCTGTCGTGTCCCCTGCTGTCCACTCGTGTCCCTGGTGTCCCCTGCTGTCTCCTGCTGTCTCCTCGTGTCCCCTCGTGTCCCCTGCTGTCCCCTCGTGTCCCCTTGTGTCCCCCTCGTGTCCCCCTCATGTCCCCTGCTGTCCCCTACTCCAATTGGCATCCCCGCCAAGAAGATTTCCATTGAAATCCTGGAGAGCGGGGGAGTGGGAGAGCGGGAGAGCGGGAGATTGGGAGAGCGGAATAGCGAGAGAGCGGGAGAGCAGGGGGAGCGGGAGAGCGGGAGAGCAGAGAGAAGAATGTCAATTGAATTCGACCTCAAAAAGATTGCTATAGAAATCCTCTTCAGAAGGATTCCAGGTGAAGTCCTCCTCGAAAGGATTCCAATTGAAATGTACTTTAACAGGATACCAGTGGAAATCCTCAAACGGATTCCTATTGAAGGTCTGTTCAAACAGATACATCTTAAAAACCATTTTCAAAAGGATTCCAATAAAAGTCCTCTCCGAATGGATTCCTATTGAAATCTTCTTCAACAGGATTCCAATTGAAGTCCTCTTCAAAAGGGTTTCACTGGAAGTCCCATTCAAAAGGATTGCAATTCATATTCTTTCAAACGAAATCAGAGAAACTATGGATTCAGTTTGTGTCGGGGTTTCGGTTTTCTGCTATACCTGGCGGCCCATAGGGGCCAGACGGATCGCGAGGAGGCGGAGGAGGAGGAGGAGGAGGAGGAGGAGGAGGAGGAGGAGGGGCCATCTGTGGTTGTGGCTCCTCGCGTTTCTCCGGCCTGCCTCTCTCCCCTCCCCCCCACTCCCTCTCTCCCAAAACCCCCCTCCCTCCTCCTCCCCCCGCCCCTCTCCCCGAAATGGTACGAATTGCAACCGACTGGTCCCAATTCCAACCGTTCGGAGCGAATTGCAACCATACATGGGACCAATTACAACCATGGGATCTTCAGAAGTACTTCTTTCTTATTCAGAAGTACTTCTTTCTTCTTCAGAAGTATTTCTTTCTTCTTCAGAAGTACTTCGATTCCTTAGGGTTCCTTATGATTCCTTAGGACTCCTTAGGATCCTTAGGATTCCTTAGGGTCCTTGGGATCCCTTAGGATCCTTAGGATCAGGATTCCCCCGGATTCCGTCAGGAATCCTTAGGAATATTTGCGAATCCATAGGAATCCTGACAACATCCTTAGGGGAAGGGTGCGCTTTGGGGGCCTTCTTGGTGTCTCTTTGGGCCACTCTTAGGGCCCTCTTGGGGCCTTCTTGGAGCCCTCCTGGGGCCCTTATTGGTTTTTCTTGGCGCCCAAATGAGCCCTAGAAGGGCCAGCGTTCGAGGGCTGCAGGGGGGCCCAGCAGAGTGACGTCCTATGGGGGCTCAGATTGGACCTCGCCATCCCTGGGGGGGGGCTCCGATCTGCGAAACTGCCGCCACTTTCGAGTGGTGCTGGTGGGTCCAGTGGACTGGCGTCCTACAAGGGGCCCTAAAAGAGCCCGAAACGGCAGCAAGAGGGAAAAACAACCGACAACTATGTTTTTTTTTTTTTTCTCGGATGGGTGCGGGGAGAACAACCGAACAATATTTGATGTTTCGGAAGGGGCTGCTTTGGGGGCCTTCTTGGGTCTTGGGGTCTCTCTGGGCCACTCTTAGGGCCCTCTTGGTGCCTTTTTGGAGCCCTCCTGGGGCCCTTATTGGTTTTTCTTGGCGCCCATTATAAGCCCTAGAAGGGCCAACTTTAGAGGGCTGCAGGGGGGGCCAGCAGAGTGACGTCCTATGGGGGCTC